CACATACGCACGCACGCACGCACGTACGCACGCACGCACGCATTCACGCTTCTCCTTATTCTTCTCCTACTTCTTACCCAACCTGTTTCTGAAGAGCGCAAATAACGATTTCTAAACTCTTATTTTTTTTTTTATTTTAAAATCCCACACAAATTTACCTATATTTTTAAATATCCCAATTGTTTGGCCGTTGTTGTGTGTCCTATTGTTTTTAAATGCGTCTATATATATATATATTTAATTTAATTTTATTGGTACTTTTTTTTTTTGTGTATTTATGTCTCGCTTTAAATTGTAAGTGTCCCCCTACCACCACCACCACCACCCCCTTCCCCCTCAGCCATGTTTGTATGTAGTTGTTAAAACAAAAACAAAAACAAAAGCAAAGAAAAAGAAAATGAAATTTGTAACTGGGCTGCAGCAGCACCAGACTAAAAGCTGATCTATAAAATAATCGATCATATTCGATCGATGATCCATGATCTATAATCATGATATAATACCGGCCACACGAAAGCCGGAGCATATTGTTTTAGTGTTGTAAGTGTTGATAAACGAAAAGAAAAAGAAAAAGAAAAAATTTAAAGAAAATAAAAGCGTTGATTGTGATTCAAATAACGGCGTCAAACGGAACAGAATGAGAACAGAGAACAGAGAACCGAAATAGAACAGAAAATAGAACAGATTAGCCTAGTATAACAGACCATGCATAGAACAGAATAGCGGCAAGCGCATAAGAAATCAATTTGAAGGCAATGTATACACACACACACACAGACACAGTCTCACGCATGCACACACATGCAAACACGAACAACACTTATTGAAGCAACAAAAAGCAACTCTGTCAAATATGCCTTGTCTGAAAAGATATATAGTAAATAATTTTTTAATATTGATAATGATAAAAGCGTATGCTTAAATGTATGCAACTAGTTTAAGAAGATTATGTGCAAAAATAGTTGCATTGGCAACGTTTATTGTTAACCCATTTTTAAATTGTCAAAATCTACCCATTTCTGCCAACCCCCCCCCCCCCCCCCCCCCTACCCCTGCCTCACTCCTCTATTCCCTTCTCTGCGAAAAGCCAAGCGCCAAGCCAGCAGCCAATCCCACATTAAATGTTGTTTGTTTCCACACATACATATGTATGTACATATATGTATTTGTGCCCTCACTGTTAACACTCACTGTTAACACTCTCTGTTAACATTCTCTGTTAACTCTCTTACTTGTATCTGTATTCTCTCTCACTCTCTCTCTCTCTCTCTCTCTCTTTGTTTGAATATTGTATTTTGCTTTAATTTTACGGACGTACGAATATAACTTATCAAATTTATTGTGTTACATTTTAAATGATAATCAACTTAGGCATTAATATAATTATTATCATTATTATTATTATGTAATTATTATAATTATAAATATACATATTTTATTTTTGTCGTAATTGTACACCCTAAGTTTAGAAGTGTGTGTGTGTGTGCGTATTATTTTTGTAAGTGGAAAGCGAAATGTAAGCCAAGTTTATATGCAATATTAAAGCACTGTACCTTAGGTATGTCACACACACACACACACGCACACACACACACACGCATGATTGTCTTAAATTTGTTTGATTTTTGTAAACATTCGACAAACCTTTTGCGATTTTTTACTCGCAAACAACACACACAAACACACACATACATACAGAGCAAACATTTTGAGCAAACAATTTACATAAATGAAACCCGAAATTTGTAATTTAATTTAAATATTATTTGATTGCTTTTTGTAAGCGCTTTAATTGTTATTGATTTTGCAGAACGAAAAGAAAAAAAAAAGAAAACAAAAAAAAAACAACAAAGCGAAAACACAAATTACATATGTATTTATACACAGAAATAAACTATTTTTTATGAAATAATTTTAAAAAAAAAAAAGCAAAAAAAACAAAAACAAAAATTTGATTTGATTTATTTTTTATTTCATTTTGATTGATTTTGAATATTTTTTTATTTTTCTTATGATTTTCTCAGTGTTAAGCAATAAATGTTAGGCGCTGTTGCCGCATTTCACACTAACAAGCGCCGCTGCCAATTTTCAAATTACCTCAATTCTAAGCATATATTCAGCTACGCTTCAGTTGAGTACGACACTTACAATCACATCAGGCCTTATAACGAGCGTAAGCAAACTGATTGACCAACAAAACACCAAGAACCCAAAACCAAAAACCAAAAGCAAAAGCAAAAGCAAAAGCAAACGCAAATCAGAAGAAACGACAACACCAAAGCAACTAAAATAAAACCAAAAGCAAATGCAAATGCAAAACGAAAACAGAAACAAAAACAAATTTAAGTAAATTAACGGCAAAAGCAACGATGAAACAATAAGCACGAACGTGTTCAGCAACTAAAAAATAGAACTAACTTTAATATTAGTTACCACAAATTGCGATCTTAGACTACCTTATACAGAGATGCGATACTATCGAACCAAGCGCATATACATATTATGCTTGAATGGCGAACCTTCCAAAACTCATATATACATACATATATATATATATATATATGTATATAATTATGTATATTATTGATTTGAAGACAAATCAGGCTATGCTTTCGCCCCAATCCAAAGATTCTCCCATAAGCAATTCTCGATGCAATTGTTTCGTATATGCCTGCATGTTACTTATTTATACAGCATATACAAACCAAATCTAATTATAATGATTCTAAAACAAAACAAAACAAAACAAAACATTTTAATGGTATTTTCTATAAAATAAACCCGTTCATACACTCATAGCTAGTTCTTATCGAATAATTGTAATGCTGAAGCCTGGCTTCTTCGCTCTCGTGTTTGTTAATATAGAGCTGTACTAGCCTTAGTTTTAGTTCTCGACTCGAATCTAACGTATATAACATTTTTAAACTGGAACACACGAACATATATACACACACACACACACCGATATACGCATAGATATATACACATATTTTAAGTATATATATATATATAACATTATGTATCGAAATCATATAAATTGCATGTGTTTCATTAGGCAAACGCACACAGCCTTTATTAATTGAGATTTTTGCAAATACGAATCAAATACGGATTATGGAACATGGAATATGGAACATCGAACATGGAACATGGCATATGGAACAGCGAACAGGGAACATGGAAATGGAACTGCAAGCGATAAACTGCATTAACAGGATACAGAACGAAATGTCTAAGCACAACCGAGCAGCAACACCAAATATATACTCAATCGATGGAAACAAATCAAAACAAGTTCTAAATACAAATATTTAAATAACGAAAATAAATGTAAAAAAAAAAAAAAACACCAATTAATAAGCGCTTAACTATATACATTTTTTAATATACATATACATATATTTACTTAAGCAACGATGCGACAGTTAGAAAGGAGTTTCAACTGAAACGAAACCAACAACAACAGCAAGAGATAGCACAACAACAACAACAACAACAACTACCATAGTAATCCAAACACCAAGTAAGAAAAACGATTTATTATCTAACTAACTAATTATAAAGTTACAATTGTATTTAAAATAACAAAAAAAAAATAAGTTGACGAAAGTAAGAAGAAGAAAGAAAACTGTTTAATGACCTCTTAGATCACATTAGTAAAGGCAAATATTTATTCGAAATGCATTTTTGAAGCAAAATTGTTTTTGAGACATGTGCCCGAATACCGTATCTGAGCAATTTCACACTTTTTCTTAACGCACAAATAGTCAAACGCAAGTGAAATTGAATAGATACGTGTTATCGGGAACTTGACGCTCAAATATCGATAACAATTTGAAGCGAAAATCGATCGGGCAGTCGAAGTTCGGCATAAGCTATACGAGTCTATGCCGTTTATTCTTTATAATCCGTAGGTAAAACAAAAAAAACAAACAAACAAACAAACAAAAAGAACTAATCGAATTATTGGCTTATCGAAATATATCGATAATGATTTAATATTGAAACGCACATGCTAAAAATATACAACGGAATATTTAATTACAATTCAATTAGTTTTGCAAATAGCTCTTATCGAATATGCGAATACGAAGAAAACCCTTTCTATATATATATATATATATATATATTTAACTTTTGTATAACTATCGAAATATTGTTAAAATCGAAGAACAAACAAAAAATCAAATAGAACAACACAAAACCAACCAAAGGTAAACGACGTAAACTAACCCACAACAGAAAAAAAAAAACAAGTGAAATTAGTAAAAAAAAAATGTATTAAAAACTGATATTTAAGAAAAGAATAAATGAGTTATTGTAGCTTTAAAGAAAACGTATATAGTATATATGAATGTAACGATGAATCAAATCAAATAGAAGCGCAAATTATAATCGTTGTAAATGTTAAAGCAACCATGTGTTAAAAAAAAAATTGCGAAAGGCAAATGTAACAATTCTCAACAATAAAACGAAGCCACAAAAACATTACGAGCATAGCTGTTAAAAAAAAAGAAGAAGAAAAATATTTAAAAATTAAAAACCAAAGGATAACAACAATAATTATTACAAATTTTTTGTGTCTGCATATTAGAAAAGAAATGAAAATTTCAGAATATATATACATACATACATAAATACACACAAATAATATTGAATAAAAATATTACATACAATATGTTAAAGTTCAATTCCATAAAATATAGCATATTCATTAATTTGCGAGTTGATCTTTAACCTCCTGACAAAGTTCATGTTAGTTAACAAGCAGTTAAAAAACAGCCAATCTTTTGCACGGTGGCAACACTGGCCCAACTTTAAACACTCAACAGTAAGCTGGAAATCTAATTAGATTACGCTGCTTTCTTTTTGAGCTTTAACAGAAAGCACCCCAAAATAAAATCTGATAACATTTGCGAAGCACTTGGGTGACGGCTTTTAGAGTTTCTTTCCAGCAATAGATTGCAGTTGACCAAGGCCAAGTTAATTGTCGTCTGGCTAACGCCAGATTAGATACTAGACGCCAAACTTAAGTCGAGCATATAAAAAATATCAAATTATGGCCAAGCAGTGCCTTTTAACCGCATTCGAAGCGCATTTGCAGCGCTGTTAAATCGTGCATTGAACTGCAACCGAAAGCCAATTGGATTAGCATGCAGTGCGCGGACATTCTGATTAGCGGCAATCAGCAACTGATTGTGCTCATCGAGTCCAATTGGAGCCCCAATTGCGCGGGCAGCTAATCAATTGGATTTCAATGCTTGTTACGCACAGATGGCGCTTTTGTCGTTGCTGCTCGGCCTGGGACTGTGCCTGTTGCTGTGGCGCATGAGACAGCTGCTGCAGCTGGGCAGCAGCCTGCCCGGACCGTGGGCCCTGCCCGGCTTGGGCAATGCCCAAATGATTGGCAAGCTGAAGCCAGAGTGTGAGTTTTGAGCAGCTGACAATTGCCATCCGAATCCCTGCAGCTTCTGTTGTCGCAGACATCTTTCTGGTGTTTACAGAGCTGCGCGAACGCTTTGGCGCCACCTACCGACTCTGGGTGGGCCCCCAGCTGTGGGTCTTTCTGCATAGTCCCGAGGAGACGCGCCAGGCACTGCACGATCCCACACTGCGCAAGGCGGCCACATTCCAACAGCTCTCGCCGCTCATTGGCAACGGCCTGCTGATCAGCCATGGTGCCGCATGGGCTGCACAGCGGCGACTCCTCACGCCGGCGTTTCAGCCACAGCTGCTGCGCAGCTTTGCGCCAAAGGTGGCGACGCATGCGGATCGCCTGCTCGAGAGACTGCAGCGGACAGGCGGCGATGCCATCGAGGTGACGGATCATCTGTTTGCCTGCCTGCTGGATGCCATTGTCGGTGAGAGCTTTACTTTGAATATACCCTGTGCGCTGTGCCCTGTGCATTGGCAGCTGGGGTATGGATAATGCCGCCTGGGCGGCCTCCCACTGCAGCACACTGACTTTGTTTCCTTTCCCTTTAGACACCTCAATGGGACATCGGCTGGAAACGCAGCTGGTGGAGCACTCGCCCATTGTGGCAGCCTTTCATCGCAGTGGCGAGCTGCTGTTCAAGCGAATGATCAATCCTCTGCTCTCCTCCGACTTTGTGTTTAGGCGCACGCGTCTGTGGCGCGAGCTGTGCGTCCAGCTGCAGCTGATACACGAGCTCATGGAGCGGGTCATAGAGCAGCGCGAGAGGCAGCTGTTGGAGCCGCAGGCCGGGCCACGCATCCTGCTGGATGCCATGTTGCTGGCGGGGCTGAGTCGTCGGCAGATACGGGACGAGGTCAACACGTTTGTCTTTGCGGTGAGTCCATGTTCGTCACGCTCAAGTGGCGCCTACAGTTCGCTCTCCCACTCTCCCTCTCTCTCTCTTTCTCTCTGGAATCTCGACAGGGCGTGGATACCACCACAGCAGCCATGGGCTTTGTGCTGTACGCGCTGGCCAAGCAACCGTCGACACAGGAGCGTCTGCACGCGGAACTGTCACAGCTGCCGCCGGGCGGCGCTGCGGATCTGGATGCGCTCCACAAGCTCTGCTATCTGGATGCTGTGCTCAAGGAGGTGCTGCGCATGTACACCATAGTGCCCAGCACGGGCCGCCAGACCACCAAGGCGACAACAATTGGAGGGCGTCGCTACTGCGCCGGCGTCACGCTCTGGATCAATATGTACGGTCTGGCCCATGATGCACGCTACTTTCCGGAGCCCTACGAGTTCCGGCCAGAGCGCTGGCTGCAGGCGCAAACGGAGTCAGAAGCGAAGGCGTCTACCTACAGCTATATACCGTATTCGGGTGGACCGCATGTCTGCATTGGACGCAGGTACTCGCTGCTGCTGATGAAGCTGCTCACCGTTCGCATTGTCCAGCGTTTCCACTTGGAGTTAGCCGAGCCGCTGGCGCCACTGGTCCTGCAGGCCCAAATGGTGCTGCGCTCCCGCGATGGCATACACATTAGGTTTTTGCCACGCATCGAGTCCGAGTGATTCAGCGAAGAGTGCCCGACTACGAGTTACCCTCTACCTTGAACCCTGTACCAAATACTTATGCGACGGAAACTGAAAATACTTCCGCTTACCTTTAATTTAGCAATATGGCAAATTTTTTTTTAATATCGTCCGTAGCTTCTTTGGAATCATTCGTCAACATGGTCAAACCACATAGATGGCATGCAGATCGATATTTATCGATCTACTGTTGAAAATCCTTCAAAATGAAACATCTGTTATTGTATTTTTTGGCAAAGGTTTCCATTTTTTAATAATATTCAATTCAATTAAATTAAACCGCACAACGCCGGGTAATTTGTTTTAAAGTAAAGAACCGTATATCGATGTACATGGTAGGGTTTGCTACGTGACCGGAAAAAGTTAAATACTAAACAAATATAAATAACAAATGTAAGAATACAACAGAGCTTAATTTAGTTTAAGTTGTTTCAGGAGTTCGATTAATGGATTTTGGAGCACCGCAAGCCGTAACCTTGACCACAACAGGATCATTCCGGCTCAGCCAGTTTCGATGGACCATCCCGATCGCACCGTGTGCTTGCCATCCCTTTCTTGCACTATGACGCCTTCTCTTTCGTGTCAGCTTAGAAAACGCGAGTTGGTTTGACAATGTTTATTTTTCTAACTGCTTATGCTAATATTAATAGAAAGTTTGCTTCAAAAACCATATGAAAATGCTTGCGACTAAAAACTTATATGGAGCAAGAGATTAAGACAAAGCAATAACTAGTATCGCGCTCAAAAGAACTTCTGTTTAGTTGAGGGCGTATGCAGGAGCAGCTCCGAGTTTCTGTAAGAGAGAAATATCTGTATAAAAACATTGTTTGCGAAAATCAATTCTTAGTCAGACCTGGTCAGTCGGGAGTTACGCTTCTCCAGCACAGAGTTCGGGCTGGAGAGCGGCCCGGGATTCGTGTGACCTGTCGATTTGATCACATCCGCATCCGAATCCTGCTCGACTTCCGTGACGTCGCTGCTCACCGTAACTGTCATATTCTGTGCTGTGCTGGGCGTGGAGTTCTCCTTGTCGGCATTGTTGACTGGATTCTGGCAGTTGCCTCGGCACTTGCAGGAGCTGCTGCAGCCGCTGCTTGTCGAGAAACAGCCGCAACGCTTCGTGTTGCAATTTTTGCGGCATTTGCAGCACTTCGCTCCTTTGCGCGTCTCATCCGTTATCGAGCTCATGTCTATCGAGCCCTGCAGGCTGTTGTTGGCGGTGGTATTATTGTTGATGCTAGTGCTGCCGTTGGGATTGTCGCCCTCGCTAGCTGCTTCCAGCGTTGCGGTGTCTGAATGCGACTTCTGTGTGAATAAGAAAATGCGAGAATTAGACAAAGGAGTAGCGGAGTGGGCGACCTATAAACTGCACCCTGGGCATGGCACTTGCCTTGGAACGTTTTGTCAATGGCACCCAGTCGGGATCGCTGTCTGAATCCTCATGCCCGTCGCTTAGCACGCTATCGTTTAGAAAGATAACTTGCTCTTCGGCGGGCTGGGGCTTCTTTGTCGCTTTTTGTTTGGACTTGATGCGATCGAGCTCCTGCTGCAACGCCTCCTTGGTGCTGAGCAGCTCTTCGACTATTTTCTGGCGCTCCAGATCTTCGGGCTTTTGGGACTCAGCGCCACCCAGCGCATGCGAACTGCGCAGCAGCACCGCGACCTTCTCCTCGTAACTGCGCTGCTGGCTAGCCATCAGTTGCTCGTGCTCTCTCTCCGCCTGGCGCAGGCGTTTGGTCAGCTCCTCGTGCCGCTGCTGCGCCTCGTTCAGCTGGCTGCGCTGCTCATCCACCAGCACCTTCTGCTCCATGATGCCTTGTGCCTGTTCGCGCCGCTGCTGCACGAGACTCTTGAGCAGCTGCTTATTAATTGCACGCGACTCGCCTATGCTCTGGACGCTATCGCATAGCGCAGCCATGCGACTGTCTAGATCGTTGGAGCAGACCTTCTGCTGCAGATCCGCTATTTGGGCATTGCGCATCTCCAGTTCCTCCTCGAGGCTGGCCAGTAGCTGAGCCTGTTCTGCGTCTGGCTGCGGCTCCTGCTGCTGCTGCGCTCTAATCTCCGAGCAGTGGGCATTGATGATGGCACGATCCTCCATTAGCTGTTCCAGACTGTGCTCCGCGTCGATCAGCGAGAGAATCACCTCCAGTTCGCGATCCACCAAAGCATCCAGCTTGGCTGCACCCGGCTGATCCTTGGCATGACGCTGACGTTGGGCCTGCGCAGCTCTCTGCCGTTCCAGTGCATCCTTGAGCCTAAAAACAGAAAAGCAAAAGTTTATTCCTTCGTTCCTTCCTTCGAAGTATTGCTCCAGCGTTCAATTTGCAATTCAATTACCGCCTGTTGGTGGCCAGCGCCTCCTCGCACTTGCGCTTGAGCACCAGGCGCTGCTTTGCGTGCAGGGTCTGCTGGCGCGCCATCTCGCTCTGCATCTTGCGATCCTTGCTCTTGAGCTGCGTCAGCTGCTTCTCGCTCATCATTTTCCACTGGCGGAAGCGCTCGGACTCGCCGCGCATGGCGCGTATTAGCTTTACCTTTGACTCCTTCATGGCGCGTATCTCGGTGCTGAGGTTCTGGATCTTCTCGCGCTCTTTTTCGCGCATCTTTAACATATTTGCCTGCTGCACGATCTTCCGACGCATGTCGACAATCTCCTGCTCGAGCACCTGCAGCCGCTTGCGCCGCTCCTCGGCCAGCTTGGCGGATGTGTCCTTTTGCTTGGTGGTACGCAGCTGGTCCATCAGCTCACGTCGCTCCGATTCCAGCTGCTCGATCTTCTGCTCGCACTGCTTGAACTTCTCGTCGATGCCATCGTCTTGGAGTTTGCTAAAGTTGCGCGTGACGCGGTCGTGCAGCTCCTGCTTTATGTCCAGCTGGCGATTTATGTTGCGCAGTTCGCCGTTCAGATTCAGCTGCTTCATCGTGTGCTCCTCGGCGCGCGACTGCATCAGCTCGTGCGCCTCCTCGCTGCCAAAGTTGGAGTCCTCGCTGCTGCTGCCGTTGCTGTTGCCACCGTTGAGGCATTCCTTGCGATGCGCCTGCAGCGCGGTTTCCGTCTGCTGCAGCTCCTCGTCCACGCACGTCACAAGCTGCGTGATTTCGCGCATCTGCTCCTGCCACCTCGTATCCAGTAGCTGCTGTGACTGATCCGGCTCGTGCTGCACACCCTGCTCTTCTGCCTTGGGCATTGCCGTCTCGGTCAGTTTCGACTTCAGCTCGAGCACGTGCGCTTTGAGCTTGTCGTGCGTGACCTCTGCTATGTGGGCACGCATCTCATTCTCGGCCAGATCGATGAGTGCCTGGTGCAGCTCCTGCTGCAGCCTTTGATTCTTCTTTTCAATGCGAGCGTTCGCCTGCTGCAGCTGCTCCAACTGCTCGTTAAGGCGCTGCTCTTTCAGCCCTGAGGAGCTGTTCATACAGGGACCGTCAATGCCAAGGCTATTGCTATTGCCATCGCCACCGCCGCCGCCGCCACAGGCTAGCAGCTTGACGCGCAAGTTCTGTATGATGTCCTTGAGCATCATTACCTCAGCCGCATGCGCGTCCACATTCACGATGGGCTTGTTCTTGATCTGCAGTGCGCGATCCGCATACCTCAATGTGCTGAGCGTCTCGGCGACGTTGTAGTCCGCGGGACTGACACAGGCAATCATAAGGGTAATCGAATTGCCACCCAGCGAATCTTGCAGCAGGCGTGTCAGCTTGGACTGGCGATAGGGCACATAGCCCGCCGTTTGGCCAGCTGAAAAAGGAAGAAATAGATAAGTGTGATTCTTGCCTATGATGTAAGGCATTCTATTTCACGTACAGCCCAGCACATTGATGACGTTGCCCAGCGCGAGGAGGCCCTTGTTAATGTTGACGCCTTCCTTGAAACGATCCCCACAAGCGAGCGTCTTTGAGCAGCGCTCAGAGCCCGCCAAATCCACCAGGCTGAACTTGGAAGTCGTCACTGTCTTTCTAAATAATCAATGCACATTAGGAACTTAAAGGGAACTGAGATTGGCCACTCGACTACTCAACTTACTGGCCAGTCTTTCTGGTGGTGACAACAGTCAATGTGAAGATAGCGTGCGAACGGGACGACGTCTCATTCATAGCTGTGGCGGCGACTGCGCGGCCTGAGGAGCCGCGCATCAGTTGGTCGGTGACATGCTTGGCGTGCTTGACCTCGACCTCGGTGAGTCCCGGCAGGACAATGCGGTTCTTGTCCTCGCGTATGTCTACAGTGCTGTCCTCGCGTTTGTTGGGCGAGAACAGGTCGTAGAACTGCTCTTGATACAGTTCCACAAAGGAGCAGGTGATTTTGAAATGGAACTCCTCCTCCAAGGCGGCCGTCTCCTCAAAGATTTCGTGCACTGCACGCGGTATCACGCCCACATTGTCATCCATGACCCCATCGAACGCAGTTCCCATCGTGTAGGTCTTGCCAGAGCCCGTCTGGCCGTAGGCGAGTATCGTCACGTTGTATCCATGGAGCAGCTTCTTCAGCTTGCTCCGCACACACGTCTTGTACACATTCTGCTGCGAATCGCTGCTGTCGAACACGTAGTTGTACGTGAACGAGTCGCTGCCATTCACGGTCACCTGAGGAATCCCATCCACGGGGCGCTGCACGGCAATGCGGCAGCCGCGCTCCACCTCCGACTTAACCAGCGGGCGCACGCGCAGAGCAACGGCCACAGAGTCTGACATGGTTTGACGCTACAATCGGACACTACAATTGCAAAACAAATATTATCAGTGGAATTATTGTTAATTATTGTTTATCTGGCGCTCACCTGGAATGTCTCTGAATTTGAGTATGTTTTATTTCCACTTGCACTCGCCGAGATGCTGCGACTTTAATAAAGAAACATTCAACACTTAATTGCCACTTATATGCCTAGCTCCAAGTAACTGCACACTTATAATTGAATGCAAATATGCATAAATAAATCAACTGCTGCCGTTCACTGATCGCGTCTAAAACAATTCGAAAAATGGTGGGACAAACGATATTTTTGCGGCAGCGGCGTCGGTGCCAGTGCAATGGTCAGTGTGTACACACACGCATAAAATAAATGTGTGCAGCCAATGACGATCACTTCTATCGATAGTTCTGGTTCATCGCTTAATTCAAATGCAACGGAATGTGTCAACTTAAAAAAAGTCAACAAAAACGTTTGAATGTTTATAAAAAATATCAATGCATTTTTCAAAACGTTTTTACAAATGAACTAAATAATTCAGGTTACTGTGTTTTCACTGATTACGATTCAATATAAATTGAATTGTGGCGTATTTATTTTCATATTGACATTCGGTGATATAGTTTGTTGAAAGGCTTTGCACATATATTTTAAGTCAAAAAGAGTTTGAATCCATTTGAACACCAGAACGATGAATTTGTCCATGAACTTTCTCCAAGATCTTTGAAATTAGCTTGAAGCTCGGGTGCGCACATACAACACGATTAGCTTCGGCTTGAGCTCTGATCAATCAGTCAATCAGTCAATCAATCAGTCAGTCAGTCAATCAGTCAATCAGTCAGTCGAGGCAAACTGTTACACACAAATAGATCTCATTTTCCAGTTGAATTTTGTTCAGATTTGTTGTTTACATTTGATTCGTTTGTACATTGCGACTTTTATATTTTGCATTTCGGCTTTCGTCATGTGGATGAAACGTTCCGCGGCAATGGGCCAGGTCACACAGCGCAACTTCCTGCGCGAGAACAAGCTCCTGGTACGCCAGACGCCGATGATGACGCTGCGGCGACTCGATAGGGACCGGCACCGGGAGCAGGATCGCGAGCGGGAACGGGAACGGGAGCGGGAACGGGAACAGTTGCATTGGCCGCCGGCAAGCTATGAACTGCCGACAGCCGCTTCGCTGGCGCATCGATCGGGCACGCTGCCGCTGGTCGAGACGCAGCGGCGCCTGATGCAAGGCGGACGCCAGGGCCGTGCCTTTTACGGTGTCGGGCAGCGATCGGAGAAGCAAATACAAACGGAGGATATTAGCGATGAGCAGTTCCTGAACGCAGCGCTGCTCAAGTGCACGGAGCAGGCACATGGACAGGGTGCGTCACGATCCATGCGCGGCTGCAGCGAGGGCGACGAGCTGCCCGTGCCGAGCCCCGTGGCCTGTGACCAAACTAATGCCAGCTGCCTGCGACGCACTGCATCCAATTTCGAGCTGGGCACAGTGCCCGCGCAACGCGGCAACCAGTCCATGAAGCACATCCAGCATAGACCGCTCAGCGGCGTGGTGGACACTGTGCCCGCTCAATTGGATCAAGTGCATCAATTGGATCACTTGGACCATGTTGAGGACCAGCCAGCCGATAGGGGCGATAGCGTATCGATTGGTGAACGGCCTGCCGCGCCGCCTGTGCTGCAGCTGGCCATACCGGACATAACGGACGTGGAGCCGGAGCCCCAGCTCGATCAGTCTTTGAGTGCACGGACCAATGCCTCCTGCTACTCGCAGACTGAGCCAACACCAGCCAGCGAAGCGCTGCAGCCGATCAAACCAGACCAGAATGAGCCCAAGCTGGGATCGGGCCAGGATCAGGTACTGTTAACGGAGGCACAGCGAATCGCACTGCTGGAAGCGGCGCAGGCGCGCCACCGGGAGCTCATCTGGGAATACAATCGGCTGCCCATTTCGATGGGTACGCTGCGTGTGCGGAATCTCAAAATACAGCTGGAGCAGCAGCTGGACCTCATCGACAGCGACCTGAGCATGCTGAACCTGCCACAGGTGTACATCAGGCGCGACCAGCTACAGCAAATCTCTAGTATCTCGTGTTAATGCTTAATAATTGTTGTTTCCTCGAGCAATCATGGTTTGATTTTAAATTGATTGGCCAACCGGCTGCTCCGTGCAAAATCAAAGCATGATGTGAGAGGTCGATTACATATTTGCAATATATATATATGGATATATGTATGAATTTGTGCTTTTTTTAATTTTACTTCTGATTGACAACACGGATGTCAACATCACTTTTAACACTTGCCTTATAATATTGTAAGTAAAAAGCTCAAACAATATACAAATTTTTTATAGCTGTCTTAGCTTAAACCACATTTTACTTTCATTCTTTGCTTTTGGACATTAGACAGTAATCAGTATGAACACAGTGACCTGAATTATTTAGTTCATTTGTAAAAACGTTTTGAAAAATGCATTGATATTTTTTATAAACATTCAAACGTTTTTGTTGACTTTTTTTAAGTTGACACATTCCGTTGCATTTGAATTAAGCGATGAACCAGAACTATCGATAGAAGTGATCGTCATTGGCTGCACACATTTATTTTATGCGTGTGTGTACACACTGACCATTGCACTGGCACCGACGCCGCTGCCGCAAAAATATCGTTTGTCCCACCATTTTTCGAATTGTTTTAGACGCGATCAGTGAACGGCAGCAGTTGATTTATTTATGCATATTTGCATTCAATTATAAGTGTGCAGTTACTTGGAGCTAGGCATATAAGTGGCAATTAAGTGTTGAATGTTTCTTTCTTTATTAAAGTCGCAGCATCTCGGCGAGTGCAAGTGGAAATAAAACATACTCAAATTGAGAGACATTCCAGGTGAGCGCCAGATAAACAATAATTAACAATAATTCCACTGATAATATTTGTTTTGCAATTGTAGTGCCCGATTGTAGCGTCAAACCATGTCAGACTCTGTGGCCGTTGCTCTGCGCGTGCGCCCGCTGGTTAAGTCGGAGGTGGAGCGCGGCTGCCGCATTGCCGTGCAGCGCCCCGTGGATGGGATTCCTCAGGTGACCGTGAATGGCAGCGACTCGTTCACGTACAACTACGTGTTCGACAGCAGCGATTCGCAGCAGAATGTGTACGAGACGTGTGTGCGGAGCAAGCTGAAGAAGCTGCTCCATGGATACAACGTGACGATACTCGCCTACGGCCAGACGGGCTCTGGCAAGACCTACACGATGGGAACTGCGTTCGATGGGGTCATGGATGACAATGTGGGCGTGATACCGCGTGCAGTGCACGAAATCTTTGAGGAGACGGCCGCCTTGGAGGAGGAGTTCCATTTCAAAATCACCTGCTCCTTTGTGGAACTGTATCAAGAGCAGTTCTACGACCTGTTCTCGCCCAACAAACGCGAGGACAGCACTGTAGACATACGCGAGGACAAGAACCGCATTGTCCTGCCGGGACTCACCGAGGTCGAGGTCAAGCACGCCAAGCATGTCACCGACCAACTGATGCGCGGCTCCTCAGGCCGCGCAGTCGCCGCCACAGCTATGAATGAGACGTCGTCCCGTTCGCACGCTATCTTCACATTGACTGTTGTCACCACCAGAAAGACTGGCCAGTAAGTTGAGTAGTCGAGTGGCCAATCTCAGTTCCCTTTAAGTTCCTAAAGTGCATTGATTATTTAGAAAGACAGTGACGACTTCCAAGTTCAGCCTGGTGGATCTGGCGGGCTCTGAGCGGTGTTCAAAGACGCTCGCTTGTGGGGATCGTTTCAAGGAAGGCGTCAACATCAACAAGGGCCTCCTCGCGCTGGGCAACGTCATCAATGTGCTGGGCTGTAAGTAAAATAGGATGCCTTGTATCAGAGGCAAGAATCACGCTTATCACACTTATCTATTTCTCCCTTTGCAGCTGGCCAAACGGCGGGCTATGTGCCCTATCGCCAGTCCAAGCTGACACGCCTGCTGCAGGACTCGCTGGGTGGCAATTCGATTACCCTTATGATTGCCTGTGTCAGTCCCGCGGACTACAACGTCGCCGAGACGCTCAGCACATTGAGGTACGCGGATCGCGCACTGCAGATCAAGAACAAGCCCATCGTGAATGTGGACGCGCATGCGGCTGAGGTAATGATGCTCAAGGACATCATACAGAACTTGCGCGTCAAGCTGCTAGCCTGTGGCGGCGGCGGCGGCGGTGGCGATGGCAATAGCCTTGGCATTGACGGTCCCTGTATGAACGGCTCCTCAGGGCTGAAGGAGCAGCGCCTTAACGAGCAGTTGGAGCAGCTGCAGCAGGCGAACGCTCGCATTGAAAAGAAGAATCAAAGGCTGCAGCAGGAGCTGCACCAGGCACTCATCGATCTGGCCGAGAATGAGATGCGTGCCCACATAGCAGAGGTCACGCACGACAAGCTCAAAGCGCACGTGCTCGAGCTGAAGTCGAAACTGACCGAGACGGCAATGCCCAAGGCAGAAGAGCAGGGTGTGCAGCACGAGCCGGATCAGTCACAGCAGCTACTGGATACGAGGTGGCAGGAGCAGATGCGCGAAATCACGCAGCTTGTGACGTGCGTGGACGAGGAGCTGCAGCAGACGGAAACCGCGCTGCAGGCGCATCGCAAGGAATGCCTCAACGGTGGCAACAGCAACGGCAGCAGCAGCGAGGACTCCAACTTTGGCAGCGAGGAGACGCACGAGCTGATGCAGTCGCGCGCCGAGGAGCACACGATGAAGCAGCTGAATCTGAACGGCGAACTGCGCAACATAAATCGCCAGCTGGACATAAAGCAGGAGCTGCACGACCGCGTCACGCGCAACTTTAGCAAACTCCAAGACGATGGCATCGACGAGAAGTTCAAGCAGTGCGAGCAGAAGATCGAGCAGCTGGAATCGGAGCGACGTGAGCTGATGGACCAGCTGCGTACCACCAAGCAAAAGGACACATCCGCCAAGCTGGCCGAGGAGCGGCGCAAGCGGCTGCAGGTGCTCGAGCAGGAGATTGTCGACATGCGTCGGAAGATCGTGCAGCAGGCAAATATGTTAAAGATGCGCGAAAAAGAGCGCGAGAAGATCCAGAACCTCAGCACCGAGATACGCGCCATGAAGGAGTCAAAGGTAAAGCTAATACGCGCCATGCGCGGCGAGTCCGAGCGCTTCCGCCAGTGGAAAATGATGAGCGAGAAGCAGCTGACGCAGCTCAAGAGCAAGGATCGCAAGATGCAGAGCGAGATGGCGCGCCAGCAGACCCTGCACGCAAAGCAGCGCCTGGTGCTCAAGCGCAAGTGCGAGGAGGCGCTGGCCACCAACAGGCGGTAATTGAATTGCAAATTGAACGCTGGAGCAATACTTCGAAGGAAGGAACGAAGGAATAAACTTTTGCTTTTCTGTTTTTAGGCTCAAGGATGCACTGGAACGGCAGAGAGCTGCGCAGGCCCAACGTCAGCGTCATGCCAAGGAT